CACACACACACACACACACATTATGTGATCAACTTCTTCGGTAATCCCATGTTTATAGACCACCATTTCAATTAAGAATATGAGAATTAATAGTATTAATGTCTTGTCCTGAGTCTTTTGAAACTTCAGCCAAAACTGATCAGTCTTTCTCCATATGCATAGCCATTTTATTTCAGGTACTGTAGAAGAGTTTTGAAGTAGAAGCTTAGGCCCAAGTTGAATAACCTGTGGTTAGCATAATAGGGCAATAATTGTTATGTTAAAAATTAATAGGGTAAAAGTAGTGCAAAGAGGGGAGTGATGTAGACTACAGTGAATACGTTTGGAAAGCAAACCAGATGCACCAGGACCTCTTCTTCCTGGCCATCCCCTTCAAAGATGCCCACCATTCAGAAGACTGTTCCCTTTCACACATCTGGCAGGAGCTAAGCCTGAAAGCTCCCTGACTTCTCATGGAATCAACCAAAGTTGACCCGAGGAAGCAATTACTTTCCATGCAGTTGATGCATCAAAGAGCTGAATTTTCAGTATGAACTTAGACTGGTTCAAGACAGTATCCTCTAGGAAGGACTGGGTGCCACAGGGAAGAAGGGGACATTCCATGGAAAACACCAGAAGGTGGCCCAAGTGCATAAGAAGGAGAAGAAAGAGAGAAATGGTGACAAGAGAGAAATCCATGGGAGACACTCCTGACTCTGCATACCTGTGGGTCATTGGAAAAGTGTTACCAGGACACAGCCTCTGCCCTGACCCTGAGTGACTATCAGACAGGTGAATGAATCCTTCTACAAAATAAATTACAGTAGGTCCAAATTTTATGGAAAATGTTGTTCATTCTCACATGTTAAACATGCACAATCTGGTTTGGGTGCTGTGACTAGTAAGTTTGATATATACTTTGTGGAGCTACAATCTGTATTTAATACAGACAATGTTGCACAATAATTTCTGCTCTGAGCATTTTAAGTTACTCTCTAATCATTTCTCTCACAGGCAAGAAGAGAAACCCAAAATTTATACTATAGGCATTAACTAAGTATATGGAAGTTGTTTTAAAAATGCATCATAAGTACTAGAATCAATGAATGTTAATACACTACCATACAAAAATGAAGTGGACAAAATTTATTCTGTAAAATTATACCTTACTAACATAGATGTGTATGACACTCCCATTCCTCTATGAGTTCTATGAACATTAATCCATGCAGGTAGGCACACAGTACATGACAGCTGGATACACACTGGCTCATAGCCAAACCTCGGAGGAGAGGATAAACTGGCTGGCCTCATATTTTTTCAAATATGAATGACAAAATGCGCTTCATGGGTACTCAGAAATGTACCTTGAGCCATCCAAGAAGATATGCAAACCTAATTCATAAATTATAATGTCATCCTCTATGATTAGTAGTTTTGATTAAGTAGTCATTTCCTCTTTGTTCAGGTGATGATTTTCAAAGAGCATATAAACTCACGACAAAGAACCTAAGAAAAGGGAAGAAATCAGAGGGTACCGAACCTCGCTTATTGTGTGACTTAGCTCAGCCGTACAGGTTCTCTTGACCACCCTTAAAAGTCCATCAGTCCTGCTCCTCGGGCCAGGAAGAGAACCACGCCGCTGTCTCAGAGCCGCTCCCGGCAGCAGAAAAGGTTCAGCATGCAGTTGCCTTCCACCTTCTCGTTCTCCAGGCACGCCCTCCTGCACTTGCCCCGACCAAGCCTGCAGGTCTCGCAGACGCTGCCCTCACCTGCGCGAGAAACAGCCGCTGAGATAGAAACCCTGGTGCTCCGCAGAGATGGGGAGCAGGCCAGAGGCCACCAAAACAGAGAAGATTTACACATGTGATTAGAAAGACTATTTTCCAGGCTTTGCAGGGAAGCTCTGCTCTTTGCAGTATGGAGTCGGGGAAGTTTATAAACAAGAGCGAACCACAGTCCCTGCTCCGCAGCTGTCAGTCTCACGTGGGATAAAAGCAAACACCAAGCAGATAAAATAACATGTGTGTCCTAGAACTACCCACGGAGAGTCCCCTAAATGTAAATAAGAAGGATATTTTGTAGTTATGAGTAGATTGTTGAAGACAGTGAAGAATTTTAGGCTCATTTCCTATTTCGGGGTCGTAGTGGTCGTGTGTTGCGATGAATTGCTTATCTCAGCTTGTTCATGTGTCCTGTGGACATCCTAGAAATATATGCCTACATTTTTAATTTGGCTAATGGTCAAATGAAATAAACTATATGAGAATGTTTGAGTTATAATAGCGCCCATCTCACAGGTTTGTCCAGAAGAGCACATCGCCCTGTCTGTGCACAGCTGTGAACAGAGCGCCTGATATAGTCGGTAATCAGTTAGGCTCAGTTAGCCTTAGTATTTCTCACCCTGAAACGCTGTCTGAACTCATTTCAGTTTTGTCCACAGTTACCCAGGAAAACTTTCGATTCTGTCTGCAAAGTGCTAAGCCCAAATGCTATAAAAATATTGTTCAACATCACATGTTAAAAACGATCCCGTATAATATGGCCTGAGAAAAATATCTGTGGGCTGTTCATCATAAAGAGCTCTTTTGTAATGACAAGGAGTTTCCATGCAACCATCCTCACTATAGTAGTTGATCCTCCTTTCACGAGAAGATGGAGTTAAAGTGGAATTCAAGCAATTCCTCTTTCACTGCTATGCCTCACTTTGGATCAAGGATAACTAACCAGGCCAGAGTTCCTAGGAGAAAAGAAAAAATGGCATAGGAGGCGCTTAACTTACCTGCTGGAAATAATGGGGCATAATCAAGTCCTGCCCGGCAGCCTAAATGTAAAATAAAACACACTTTAGAGATGAATGTCAGCGGAGAAGACAGCACTGTAAAAAGGGTTCTCACATGTGACACGGAACGTTGGAACTGCTGGTGACAGAGATGTGATTTTATTCCATTTTTTCAGGACAGCACCGTAGCAACCCATAGAGCAAGTCACAGGGGAAAGAGAAGCAGGAGGAGGAGCAGGAGGAGAGGAGGAAGGAGATGGAGAAGCAGCAGCGACATACACTTTTGACTCTGAAAATATGCCACTGCAGAATCAAGAAATTTCTACGAGAAGCACTGCGAGGATCTGAATTTTACTCTCCGTTTTTAGGTGGCCGTGGGAGAAATCATGGCACTTTCTGCTCTGCCTCCTCAAAACCCATCCGTTTTCTCTTACCTGACGGCAGTTGGGCCAAAATGAAAAACAAAGTGAAGACAAAGTAAACTATCTTCCTGCTTGGGGCCATCTCTAAGGGGTGACTTTTCAGAACAGCAGTACAGGGTTTCTTTCACAGGACAGGAATCTTATTTATATTTGAAAGTAATGGGGCATGCTCTTGGTTAGTGAAGTGAATCAATAAAGAAGACACAATTACATGCTCCATGTCCCAAGACCAAAGGCTGGTATCACATTACTAACCTTGGCATCGAGAAGTCATATATTTTGGAGAGTCTGACTGTCTGGTGATGATAACGAGCTGAACAGCCAGCTAGGAACTGGAGGCCCAGGGGTCACGAACAGTTCTGCCAGAGCAACGCAGGGATGAAGACCCAGTTACTGCTCTCATCACTTCTAGGTGGTTTTCCTTGGGAAAACCAAGAAACACTTCATATACTCCGCTCTCATCACTTCTAGGTGGTTTTCCTTGGGAAAACCAAGAAACACTTCATATACTCCACAGTCATACTTCTTTCATATACTCCAGTCTGCAGTGAGGATCCAGGATGACACTGATGCAAGTGTCCTGAGCCTACCCAGTGCTGGCAGAGGCCCAGTGAGACCCTGAAGAGATCAACAATGGTGTGCACTGACTTTCCTTCTTTTCGGGTTCATTGTCTATCAATACATCAGGACAGAGGGTAGCATTCATTTTCCCAAGTTAACTCTGACTCTCTGCTTACAGCACATGATGCCCCACACATTAAGTACATCTTTTGAATTCATTAAGAACAGGAGTATCAGAAGTAACATTTACATCACTGTCCCCTTTCCAAGTAAATCATGCTTATCACCACCCTGTTGCCTATATCTATGTGATGTATTGTCCTTCATTTGGGGTTGCAAAAATAGAACAATTAGAAAATATACACTATGAAATCAGACAGACTTGCCAAGGTCATGATCCAGAATAGAACACCTAACTTTTTCAAACTCAAGTTCTTCATGGTTAGAGCGAGTATACAACGGTAACGCTTGCTTCACAAGGTATTTTAGAGAATGGAGCTTTACAAGGTTTATCAACTGCTTAGCAGAGTATCTGGTTACTGGTACTGCTGCTATCACAGTCATACTTCTTTCTACACGCATTTCAGACAACTTTTCTGCATGCTATCTTTCAAATCCAGTAACTCATAGTGAACCTTCCCTGACCCGTAAAAGGCACTTGTATTGCTATTGTTATGGCTGTTGTTGTGACTCGCAGATATTTCAGCTTCAGAAGCCAGGCTAGTAAATGTACACACGGAAGACAGAGTAGAGGGCTGAGCCCCTGGACTCTCAGCCTTTAGACTGTGGGTATCTGTGTGTATGTACATACCTGCATGTGTGTATGTGTGTGTCTGTGTATCTCTGTGTGTGTATGTCTGTGTGTGTATGTCTGTGTATGTCTCTGTGTGTGTACGTGTGTCTGTGTATGTCTGTGTGTGTCTGTGTGTGTCTGTGTGTGTCTCTGTGTGTGTGTGTCTGTGTGTGTGTGTCTGTGTTACTAAGGATGGACCGTGGGGTCTTTACAGTAAGCTACATTTAAGGTTTTTAAAAATTTCTAATTTTGAGGCAATGTCTTAGTGAGTTGCTCGGGCAGGTTTTAAATTCACAATGCCCCTGCCTTACTCTCCCAGAGTGCTGGGATCACAGGTGTGTGGCCCTAGGCCATACACGTGTCTAACAACCAGGCGTGGGGACGGCTTTGTGGGTGTATCATCAAAGCACACAGTCCTTGCCCCCTCACTGGGGGCTTAACGCTCTCTGGTCACTGTATTAAAATTCTAGTAAGTTAACGTTCCAGCTTTAAATTTCTGATGCGACAGTGCAGCAGGCACGGGAGTTTGAGCCTCAGCTCACCGGCAGTCCAGACTTCCTTCCGCTCCTCACCTTCCTAGGAGAGTGCTTAGCCACCTGTGCTGTGCCCTCAGTGTACTCGGCCCCACCTGGCCTCCCCTTTGCACACCCGGCCAGCACACTGCCCACACTGCAGGGACCTGAGTGAGTGTGCACGGGGTTGGAGTTGAGGTCCTGAGCCCTGGGTGCTTTGCGCGAGGGGTTGTGCTCATCAACCTCTTCCTGGACCCACAATAGCATGGCACAGACAGGCAGCCTGGCAGGAGCATGCTTGTCAACAGCTTCAAAGTTAGCAACTGCCACATCCCAGCACGGAGGCCTGGTGTCCTTGGGAGCCACCCAGTCACTGCTGAAAGACACCTGGCTCGACTCCGGCTAGGGCAGGGCACACAGGCGCAGCAGCTGGTTGGAAGACTTAAGAGCAGGCTGTGGGCCACACAGAGGCATACAGCAGGGACTCTGTGGGTATCCCCAGTGGGGCACCTGTCTCTGGAGGACCCCTGTGCCCAAGATACTATGACGGTAAACAGCAAAGAAAATCACTGTGGTGCGTTACAAAGTTTGAGCAAAAGCAAAAGCTGTGTGTTTTGATCGTTTTAACGTCACTTTTTTTCTGGGCAATCCTGCATTTTCATTTTGCACGAAGCCCACCAAATTAGGTATCTGCTCCTGATCTGGAGTTAACTTCCAGTCTTAGGAAAAGAAGAGGACATTTGATCTCCTTAATGCCAACCCGAATGAAAGATCTTACTAGGAACCCCAACCCCCCTTTGCTATTTGAATGGGCCCAAGGTGGCCCCTGAGGTCTTTGACTCATTAGCTCACAGCTCTCTCTCCAAACTAAGGCTTCCATCTCCAAGTAGGCCAAATGCAGCTGAAACAAGCATGTGTTCATCTATTTAGTGCCCCTCTGTGTTGCATAGGCCACAAACTGCACCCAACGTTCACTGTTTGTGTACTAGGAAACCGCGCAGCTACAAGACCCCAAACCACTCCTGCCCTTTGGAGCAGTCTAACCCAGAGAGCCCCCACCTTCCTGTTCGACAGCAGCATGGAGACATGCAAGCCCCTCTGACGATCGTCCCCCTCCGGAGCTGCTATGACTTGGTCTTCCTCATGGTGGCCTCCCAACACTGTCTCCAGATGGTCTTCTAGGAAGGGCAACCCCTTTCATGAAATTTGGCCGTCCTCCCACAAAGCCTAGTGTGTTGCCGTCTCTTTGTCCTGCCACCTTCCGATCAGCTCCATCTGGAACTCGGCAACCCACTCGTGTGTACAGAATTCACTCAATCAAACGGGCTTGCTGCTTCCACAGTGTGAAGAGGAGCCTCCTCCTTGAGCAGTTCAAGAAGCCACAGCTTGCACAGGACAGCTTGTTGTCTATTGTGAGAACTCAGGGAAGATGTTACAAAGATGAAGCCTGAAGAAGCAGCCGCATGAAACCAGGAACATACAGTGGTGTTTCCATTGCCACAGGAATATTCATTTTTCTCATGGGCTCAGTTAAAATTCTCTTATATTTGCAGCCTTAGTTTGTTCACAAGTTAGACTCATTCTGCGACAGAAAAAGATGCAATAAGTAAGACAAATGTAGTGCATAACTGAAAACGTGGGGAAGTTTATCTTTTCTTGTGCATGTAAATCTTTTTAGGTGAGGTTTGGAAGGGAGTAGGTGGACTGCATACTTTCAATCTGTCATTCTCAACTAGGTTATTCATAATATAGAACCAATGTGGGCAGAAAACTAACAAAGATAAAGAACACACTGAGATACTCTCTAATTCTTTCTTTTAGTAAAAGTTGTTTTGTTAGAAAGATTGCACAGAGCTCTCCTATGCCTTCCCCAAGGCAGTCAAAGTATTGACAACCTTCGTAACCACTGCACCTTCTTCTGCATCAAGGAGCCCACGTCGGTACATTCCTGCTAATTAAAATATGGAATTCAGGTGTGTTCACAGGATTTACCGGGGTTTGGGATTGTGGGAAGGAAAACACTGAAATGAACGGGGTTTTTCCCATCCAGAACTTCAGGTGTGCAGCATCTCAGCAAGAAAGGTCGCTGGCAGTGTCGACCTAAGTGGTGTCTAGACGGTTTCTCCCTATAAAGCCCTTGTTTCCTTTCTCTATATTCTGTTCTTGGGAGGTGAGTCATTTTCATTCACACCACTTGGAGTTCCTCTGATAAGTGCTCCCTTTTCTCACATTGCTTCCTCTTTCAAACCTTGATCTCCATCGGGACATGAAGGAGTGAACGGAGGAGCCCATCCAGGCCGCAGAGGCAAACATGACGTTACTACCACAATGATCTTCTCCTGTCTTTCAGGGTTCTGCTTTTTAACAAATGCTCCTGAGATCTCTCACCTTCTCAGAGTGGAGTGATGAGGAAGTTTGCTTCTCTCTCCAATTTGATATTTCCTTAAGGAAATAAATACCACTCTCCATCTCACAAAGGAGAAGGTTAAAACTGGGTAGCTCAAGCCTTTCTCTGCCCCCACGTAACAGATTTAGCCCAAGTCATAAAGGGACGGGAAGGAGCTGGTGGGAGTCTGTAACTCTGGCAGTGCTTTTCTTCAAGGAGAATGACCTCACACCTTAGATGGAGTTTTTACCGGGGATTTTAAAGGCTATTTGGATTTTAATACACATTTTAACAATGAAAAACTACACACACAGACTTAGTTCACATCCAGTAAGTTCAAATGTACCTAGGACTCAATGGGACTGTGGGTAACACTTAAAGTCGGCAGCATACAGCAAGATCCCCCTTTTCTTCACAACAGTGAAGTAGATTCTCGAGTCAGTCCCTTTGCCCAGTGCACACAACTCTGAAAGCTGAATCTGCAGCCCAGGCTCTGCCTGACCAAATGGCGCCAGCGTGCTGTACTTTCCCTCCTGCTCTATACAAGCACACTGAAGCCACGGGCAGCGCAGTGAGGGCTGGAAGGACAAACCTCCACCTCCAGACCCTGGTTCTCCTGCCACAGTCACACACATTCCGTCCTCCAGGTCTTCCCTACTCTGTTCTGTCGTCCTCCCCACTTTGCCTCTCGGGCACTTTCCAGAATTAGAAAGAGGAGCCGTAGACAGACACCCACTGAAGTCTGGGAGCGCTACGTAGCAGAGCATGGAAAACTCTCCTTCCTGCCAAGCCTCGCTGATCAAGATGCCATTCAATCTGCAGAAACCTATAAATGTGGGTGCTGGAGCCCTTTTCTCAGGGACGTTGTGCTGATCCCTCAGTCCTCTCCAAGCCATGAAGACGGTCCTCTCGCTCTGTGCTGTTCTTTTCTTTCTGGCCCCAGGTAAAATGAGCCTCTGTGTAGGGAAGGAGATCAGACTGGGGTCTCTCCCTGGGAATGCCTGGGCATGGTGAACCCCCAAATGCAAGGGTGCCGTTGGCCTGGCAGCCCTGCAGGGGAGCACCGGCTGGAGAAGGGCACTTTTCTGCACCTTCCTACGTGCTTTGCATCTTTCAGTATTATCTAGGAAAGACTGTCACAGGGTTGGATAAAAGCAGCCATGACCTGAAAGATGCCATGTGTTGCCTGGGCTCGTGCTCCCCTCAAAAAAGAAAAGAAAATGGGGAATAAATTAAAAGCAAGGGGAAAACTTTACAAATGTAAAATGTGTGTGGATTTTTAAAAGTATGATTATGGGCCAGATGTGGTGCTGCATGTCTGAAAATCCAGGAGTCTTGGACATCGAGGCAAGAGGGTCACAGGTTTGAGTTCAGCTAGGGCAACTCAGTGGGACCCCATTTCAGCATAAGTAATGAAAGCACTTACAGCATCAAGAGGACAGAGAAGCACAGGCCATTGCAGTGGGAGCCGGAGCTCTCTGGACTTTAGAATAATCTGGGTTATACTTTTAACAAGTGCTGACGCTAGGTACCATTGCATAGAGGGCACTCGCCCATCTGGTTACAAATTTCACATAGATACAAATTACGTGCTATATTGGCAGTAAATGCAGTTTCTCTGTTCTCTGTTCTCAATTGCATGGACCTCAATTAGGCTAGTCTAAAGTGCTGGTCCTGACGAAGGACCTGTCCTTAATGCGAAACAGGCTGCTCTGACCGCTGGTGTTGATAAGGTCTTAAGGCCAGAACTGGAATTCCATGTAGAAGAATGGACATTAGGGAGACCGTCTCTGCAGCCTCCAGGTGCCTGTCCTCGCAGCCTGGAGAAAAATGACTAATATCTAGGGCATATAAAAAAATATGGAGAGAAATCAGACGACTCTTCCTCCTGGAGAAATCAGATGACTCTTCCTAGCAGGCTCTCTCTCTACTTCCGGTCTACTGCCCAAACTTTTTTCTGTCTCGTGCTCCTTTGTTACTGTAGTCCCAAGCTGTTTCCAGTCTCAGTCCACGCACTGCTCTCACCGAAAAGCAATCTTTCAACATACATTGAGGAAGTTCTGGATGAGTTGGCATAAATTATTTTTATTCGTACACGTTTGCAGTTCACAATAAGTCCCTCCCCTGGGGGGAGTTGGTAATGTACATAACACATCCTCATTCCTCTTTTCATCCCCTGTCCCCCTCCCCCCTTTACCCATCTCTTGATCCCCTTCCCACTTCGGAAAGATCTGTCTCCCTACTTCTTATCTCTTTTATTTGGCTCTTCGCTTATAAGTTGGGTTTCTTATCCAAGAGAAACTATGAAATAGTTAACCTTGTGCGTCTGATTTATTTTATTTAATATTATTGTCTCAAGGTGCAGACATTTTCCTATTAATGACTCATGTTTAATCTTTCTTTACTGCAGTATAGTACTCCATTCTGTATAAATATCACATTCTCTTTATCCTTTGATCTGTTGATAATCATATGGGCCAATGCCAAGATTTAGCTATAATGAACTTTCTCCTATAAACATGGATAAGCATGTATCTTTGCACTATGATATTTTTAACTTTTTTGGGAAGATAACTTGAAGGGGATAGCTGGGTCAAATGAAATGTCTAGTTTTAGTTGGGGGGCATTCTATAGTGATTTCCATGGCAGTTGTATTAGTTTACATTGCCATCAACAGTATGGAAGGTTTTCTCTCTTCATGTAGCTTTGCTAGCATTTGTCATTATTTGATTTCTTGATGATGTCTGTTCTTTCAGGGGTTAGATGGAGTCTCAGTGTTGTTTTCACTTGCATTTCTTTAATGGCCAGTGACGTTGAGCATTTCTTTCTGTGTTTATTCACCACCTCTACTTCTCTTGTGAAGCAGCTTTTCATTTTACTTGCACATTTTTTGGTTGGGTCTTTTATTTCAGCGGTTCTAAGTTTTTTAGTTGTTTATATGCCCTAGATATTAGTCATTTTTCTGCAGAACAACTGGCAGAAATTTTTTCATTTTGTAGATTTTTTTTTCACTCTGTTTGTTGTTTCTTTGATATGCAGAAGCTTTTACATTTGATATGAGACCACTTGTTGATTCTCAGTGCTATTTCGTATGCAGCCAGTGTTGTGCCTATGTCTATGACTTCAAGAGTTTTCAAAGCACCTATAGATTTGGATAACAGAATATTAGCCTTTGTTTCCTGAAGCTCTGCACAGCCTAGTTAAAAATGCTTGAAGACAAATCAGTTCTTCCCAGTTTTCACATTATGTAACAACAATAAAAAAATAGAAATACCATAGAGAAAGAATTTCCCACATTTCATCTATTGATAGGGTTAGGCACTAAGCAAGCCTACAAAGAAATCTTCACTGACATTTTTTGCCTGTACTAGCTGGTAAGCAAACACAAACACGGTTGAAAAAGAATAATCTAGTTGGCTCTTTCCCTTCTGTAGCCAAGAATGAACTTTTTGATGGCAAATGCCACAAGCTTAAAGGAACATGCAAGAGTTCATGTGAGAAGCATGAAGAAATTGTTGCTTTTTGCCAGAAGACTCTAAAATGCTGCCGGATAATCCAGCCCTGTGAGCTGAGTGCAGACAGCAGTGAAGACTGAGGTGAAGACTGAGTGCAGACAGCGGTGAAGACTGAAGACTTCAGCTGTCCAGGGAGACGTGGGAGACCCCGTGCTTCTGTGTACTCTGCTGTAAGCAAATACTTCAATAAAAAGTCAGTAACTTTTTTGATCACCGTCATGTGCTTTGTTAGATCAGAAAACATGTCTATCTAAACCTGACCAGCCTTCCCTCCTGCTTTATTTTTTTCTAACTTTGTGATGAGATAACTGTCCCAATGATAACTAAATTTCTCTATAAAGGAGGACTAGAAAGAAATTAGGAAAACAATACCATTTATAATAGCAGCAGGAAAAATTAAATATTTAAGAATTAACCAAATCAAAGAAG